ATTATTATTATTATATGTGCTTATTATTATTTAAAAGGATCAGATAAATTCATATTTATCTGCTATATGACAACTTTTATTTTTTTAAAATAAAATCTGTATAGATAAATTCTATTTCAATAAGATTGTAGGATAAGCCCTTAGAATCATTTGAGGCCTGATCAAGTGTTGGACCGGCCCAGCAAATTTTGTCCAATTTGTAAAATGTAGCAAGCAAATATATCCTAAGGGGCTGTTTGGCATCAATTTTTTATTTTTTAAAAACATCTCTGTTACTCTGTTTATAATTTACTATTATTTTTAGTCATTTTTATGTTCGATTTATTAAAAAAAAATTCAATGTAATTTTTTAAATATTTTGAATTTTTTAAATATTTTGAATTTTTTAAGAACAAATTACCACCGATCATCACTAACATAATACGCTGCGGTTATCAGTGACATAGTATCAATGACCATCATTGCCAAGCAAATTAGGCCACCATTGACGGCAGCTTTCGCTACAACCACATATAACTAATTTATCATATTTAAAATCATAACAATATTTAATTTAAATCATTATAAAATTAAAAGTCTTAAAATGAGCAAATTTAGGCTTCTTTTGGGATGACTTTTTTACTGCTTCTTAAAGCAACTTTCTAGTACAAAAATAAAAATTTGTATGCTAAAAAACTGTAAGAAATTTATCCTAAATGAAGCCATCTTTATTTGGGATTGCTTTTTTAATGTTTCTTAAAGCAGCTTTTTATTACAAAAATTAAAATTTGTGTAGTAAAAAACTGCCTTACGAAGTAGTAAAAAATTCGTCCCAAATGAAATTTTTTAGAACGAACAGGAGAAAGCAGCAAGACCGAATGAACAAAATAAGGAGAAAGAGATTACATTCAGTGTCTAACTATTACAAATATTAAATAGACAACATAAAAGACTAGTAGCCAATACAATGGCGACACGTGTACAGAAGTATAACATGGTTATTAACATGCCCCCTCAAACTATTGTGTTGGAAGAGGTGATCGGTTTGGTTGCGAGGTGCTTGAACCGAGAGATGGAGAGTGGTTTTGTGAAGATATTTGGGATTTGAACTATGGTGGAAGTATGATGAATGGTGATGGTTTGATCCTTGATGCAATCCCAGATAAAATGACAGTCGACTTTGATGTGTTTGATTATAGCGTGGAAGACTGCGTTATTTGCTAGAGCTATTGCTGAGGTATTATCACAAAATATAGGAGTATGTGCAGAGGGTAAGCAGTTGAAGTCTTTGAGTAAACGGCGAAGCCAAATGACTTCAGCGATTGAAGCTGCTAGTGCTCTATATTCGGTTTCTATGGAGGATCTTGCAACTACATTTTGCTTCTTGACGCTCCAGAAGATTAAGGAAGATCCAAGATAATTACAGTAACCAAAAATGAATTTTCTATCAGTCGAGTCACCAGCCCAATCTCCATCTGCATAAGAGCAAAGAAAAAGAGTATCACGAAATAGTGGTAAGCCTGTGTGTAATGTACCTTGAATGTAGTGCAAGAGGCACTTGAGAGCGTCAAAGTGACTAGTAAGAGGATTCTGCATATGCTGTCAAATTTTGTTGACGTCAAAGGAGATATCTGGTCATGTGAGGGTGAGATATTGTAATGATCCTACTAGCTGGCGAAATAACGTCGGATTAGGTAAATCATGTGAGGTAGTGGCGTTGCAAGATGGCTTGAGTTGGGATGGAGTAGATACCGGTTTACAATTAAGCATTTCGGCTTTAGATAAGATGGATTCAGCGAATTGTGTTTGATTTAAATGAATGTCGTAGGTGGTGTGAATGGCTTGAATGCTGAGAAATTGAGAAATGGGTCCAAGGTTTCTCATTTTGAATTTAGTGTGAAGGTTTTGGAGTAGTTTAGTGATTTCAATTGAGGAGTTGCCGATAATAAGGATATCGTCAATGTAGACTAAAAAATACATTGAGATATCTGATTTATGATAGATAAGTAAGGTGGGATCAGATGAACTGAATTTAAAACCAAGAGTTTGAAGATGATCAGATAAGGTGGCAACCCACTATCGAGGTGACTATTTTAGACCATAAAGGACCTTCTTCAAGCGGCAAATGTGATTGGGATTAAGAATGTCAAGAAAGCCAAGTGGTTGTTTCATGTAAACAGTTTCAGAGTGATGGCCGTGAAGGATCGCATTAGATACGTCTAATTGATGAACTGGCAAGTTGTGATGAAGAGCGATGACGAGAAGGACTGTAATAGTGGGCATTTTGCGACTGGGCTGAAGGTGTCAGTGTAGTCTAGGACGTATTCTTGGTTAAATCCTTGAGCGACAAGTCTAGTTTTGTGCCGAGCTATAGTGCTGTGAGATAGGAATTTGGTGCGATAGGTCCAACGACACTCAAGAACATTTTGAGTAGGATTGGGAAGAATAAGTTCCCATGTTTCTTGTGATTGGAGAGCTTGAAATTCATCATACATGGCAGTTCGCCAATGTTTATATTTGTGGCTTGGGTGTAGCATGTTGGATCAGGAGTATTGTGATGAAGAAGATTAAAAATGACCTTGGGTTTTGAGTGTCCGGTTTTCGATCTTGTTTGCATGTGATGAGTGGTCGATCAATTAGGAATAGAGGTGCTAGGAGGGTGGCAGGGAGCATTGGCGTGAGAAGAGAATAGGGAGTAAGCGGAACTTGTGTTGTTGATTATGGAAGGAGTATTAATGGGTTGAAATGAGAGATATATGGTAGTGATTGAAGCATAATTAGAAAGCTGAGTGGTTGGGACCAAAAGTAGCAGAGGTGTATAATTTGTTGTAGATGAGGAATCGGTGGTTGTTGTGTGTTGTTGTTGATATGGAAATATAGCTTCGTTAAAAATAACATGTCGTGACGTAAATATTTTTCTCGTATTATGATTAAGGCATCCGTATCTTTTTTGGGTAGGGGCGTAGCCGATGAACACACAAGGAAGAGAGAGAAGTGATAGTTTAGAGGTATTATATGGACGAAGCCAAGGATAACATAAACATCCAAAGATTCGAAGATGTGAATAAGAGGGAGGCTTTTGATAAAGTTTGAGATAAGGACTTATATTATTTAGAACTTTAGTAGGTAATCTGTTGATGAGATAAACACTTGTATGCCCAGAGAGATTGAGGATGTTAGCTTCGAAAAGTAAGGTAGGAACAGTTTCCAAGATATGGCGATGTTTGCGTTCGGTGACACTGTTTCGAGCAGGGGTGTAAGGACAAAAAAATTGATGGTGAATACCCCAAGTTTTGCAGATAAGTTTGAATTGGTTGCTGAGAAATTCACCACCTCCGTCCGAGCGAAAGGTGATGATACGTTTATTAAATTCGCGATTGATCATTTTGTTAAATTCTATGAATTTAAAAATGACCTCAGATTTCTACTACAACAGATAGACCCAATAGAATTTAGAATATTCATTAATAAATTAAACCTAATATTTGTATCCTTGCATGAGAAGATCCCCAAACATTGAAATGAACTAGTTCGATAGTAGTAGAAGCTAAGGGTGTAGATTTAAGGAATGGTAATCGATGGCTTTTGGCCATTTTACATGAATTACAATGATATTAAGATGATTGTAAACAAATAGTAGAGATGTTATTTGCCAAATGTCGTTGAGTATTGGATGCAGGATGTTCGAAACAGTGATTGCAGAGATTGGGAATGGCTTGTGTGGAGACGAGAGCTAGAGATCAAGTAGAGGCAGATGAGTGGAGGAGATAGAGTCCATTAAGACATGGATTCTGTAGAAGAAGTTGTCCGGTCTTCGAATCCTGAATTTTAAACCCATTAGAAGTGAAGGTAATAGTACATTTATTGTCTGCAGTCAAGCGATGAATATAGACTAAAATAAAAGAAAGATTTGAAACGTGATAAAGATTCTTGAGATTAAGTTTACCGGTTGGGATAGGGAGATTAAGTTTACCAGTTTTAATATCTCGTATTATTTTAAGCATACCTCTATATTCTGTATTATTTTCATAATTATGATCTCTGCTTAATTAATTAAGAAAACCAGTTCAAAACAAATTATTTTTCCCTATTATGAAAAGGATTAAACGAAAGTTTTAATTAATTTTATTATTAATTAACTTAGTGAACTATTCCTATCTATATTGCCAACCCCTCTCAACTACCGTTACTGTTGACGGGCAACGGTCACCCTCCACAGGAGCCGTCAACGCTTCACATTGCCCATTCCTTAGTCAAGCTTCTATCCTATATCTTCTAATTTAGCTTTTCTCATCATTTATTACTTGCAAAGTTGCAATAGCAAAGTTGAGATGCATATTCTACTGAATTGAGAGCCATTAATTGTGAATTTGACTCAAAGAATTTTCTAACAAAAAAAAGTTTTTTTTTTCTTCACATCAAATTTGAATAGAAAATAAATGAGTCAAAACTCGCTCGAATCAAAATTTAATTGAGCTGAATTTGAACATAATCATGCTAATTTCAAATTGGATTGAAATATATATACGCATCGGCATATGTATATGCATATATATATTCATATATGTTGTGTTATTAATTTATCTTTGGAGAATAAAAATTGATTGAAATTAGATCAATTGTTAGGTAAAACTGAGCTTAAATCAATGATTTTATGTGCGACTCAAATTCTTAATCTGAAAAAATAACATTTTTTAAGAAAATAAGATTGAGGCTTCATTTGAGACAACCTTCTTATTGCTTTTTAAAGCGACTTTTTTGTACAAAATTTTAATTTAAAAAAAAAATTGTATTGAAAAACAGTAAGAAAGTTATTCCAAACAAAATCTTGCTTTCATGATAAGCAACTGTTAGTAAAAAATAATGCCTCTGAAAGACATTTTTATCACTGATATTTTAAATTTTTACCGTTAACTCTCTGATTGCTATATAAGAAAGGCATCTCCAAAAATTTCAATCAGCAATTTCCATATATTGTGCAAGAAGGGGAGCCTTATTCAAGCAAAGGAAAGATCCAAATATGATTATAAATTTGTAAACAAATCATGAAGAAACCAACACAAAAAACAAAAAACAAAAACAGCAAAAATATAATCCCCTAAATTCAAATTAATAACCAAGACTTGATAAAATTTTCTCTTTATAACTCTTTGTAGAAGGCTCCATATTCTTTGTACCGAGATCTCATAGCATAATATTCCATAGAAAATGATTTTATAGCTAGTCAAATTGCAGATGCTTGCTTCCAGTATCACCTGTTGCATTTTCCTGCAATCTATTTGGAATTCCTCTTGAACAAGGATTGATTTCTGCAAGGGGATTTGTGAATCCAAGCTTTTGTTTATTCCACTGATGATGAACATTATGAGCAGCTCTATTACCAGAAGAATCATTTATATCAGGCAAAAATCTACTATCACTTCTCCTCCAGAATTTTGAACTCAGGAATTCTGTGCCTGGTAATCTGCAACATGTTTTTGCTGCTGGATCTCTGTTCCTGGAAGATGAAACGACCAAGTCATGCGAGATTTCATTGAGTGTCATTTCGAGGCTGTTCACTCTTGCTTCCAGCGAATTTATGCCGTTCTGCGAGCTACCCATGAATTTCTGGAAAAAATTTAAAGGAAAATAGCATTAGAATAAGAAGAAGAAGAAGGTTGAGGAACAGATTAGAGATATTGATGCAGATATAGTTCTGAAATGAAAGAATAAGAGAAATAATATGTTAGATTAACAGAGCAAAACGGATCTTCTGTAATAACAAAGAGCAAAGAGTGATGAGGAGAAAAATTAACTCTAGGAAAGATACCTGGAGAAGTTCTAGTAGAATGGACTGCTGTTTCTCAATCTGAACTAATTGCAATCGAATCAAAGACAAATCACTATCTTTCTGGTCTACAATGAGCTCATCACAAGTTTGATCAGTTAGTTCCAAGCTCCCGTTCTCCTGTAATGGCACTACTTTAATCCCAGATTTCAACGCATCCATCTTTTTCTCCTCGCAGTTCTTCTCAAAGAGGACTCTTCTTGCTTCAAATTTGGATCTTCCATTGCCATTTTCATCAGCTCTTGCCTGATCTCCTCCACTCTTCCCACCTTTTTCATTGATTCCTGCATCAGGAACAGCAATTTCAATCCTCCAATCTGAATTCTTTGCTTGGCTGATCCTCCTTGATGCAACCGAATTCGGTTTCAGATCAATACTTGGACGAACGAGCTTCTTCTTCACAGAAGAAGGAATTGGAGATTCAGTAGGTGGAGGTGATCTGCTAGTTGGTTGCCTATTTCTCCTAGCACGGAAAGGAGAAGAAGACTGAACAGATGATGAAATGTTTATTGAAGTAAGTGAAAATGTACCACCTTCACTTGTATTCTCTGTAAAAAAATTCAAAAATAAAACCGCCAGATAGAAAACGTTGTTAAATCAAACTGAAATTGAGAACTGAAAAGGATCAAAAGATGAGAATAAAGTTACCAGCTTTGAGAGAATTTGGCTGGAATTCAGATGGATTCAGATCTTTGTCGGGGATTTCCTTCCATACGCCCATCATCCGGTTCATCGAATCCCTCACAATCTTCACCTGCATTTCAACAAGAATTAAATAAACCAAGATCTAATAAACCAGGTATAGAAAGAGATATATGATAAGAAATAAGATTTAAGAAAAAAAAAATAGAACCTTATCATAACGCCGGGCTTCAAATAAAGCCAGATAAGAGAGCTTAAAGCCCACAAGGCGATCCCTTTCTGCTACGGCGAGGCGGGTGAGCGCCTCTGCTGCCGCCTTCCTTGCGGACCAATCCTCACAAGCGAGGAATTCCACGAGACAGGGAATGACCGCCTGTAACGCGGTGGCGTCGCCGTCGATGCCGCCGGCGGCTACCACGCTGCCGAGCAGCGTCAGAAGTGCGGGCTTAGCCTTGGACGCGGGGCTTCGGACCAGCTTCACCAAGCGAGGAAGAAGACGGTGGAGAAATCCGGTTAGGTTGTCGGCGTTAGCGGCCGCGGTTTCATCCAATGCGGCGGCGAGGGAGTACGCAGAAACGGATTGGGGATTCAGATCCTGCTCTTGAAGAAGGGCGTCGGCGAGTGGGCGGAGGATAACCGGAACGAGAACAGACGGCGGCGATGCGGCGGCGAGGGAACGGACGGCGTCAATAAGTGCGGTTCGGACAGAGGAGTCGGGGTCGCGGAGGCGGCGGAGGGTGGCGGAGAGGATACGAGGGAGGTGGGGGGCGAGGGCGGCGGGAGGAAGGGAATGAGCGAGGAGTGAGAGGAGGCGAAGGGAGTGGCGGCGGAGAGGAGTTTTATCTGTTGGGCGAGTGTCGCCTACGGCGGAGACGAAGGGGGGTAGAGCGTCGGCGGTGAGGCTGCGTGCTATCGATTCGAGTTCGGCGGCTGCCATGGCTTCGGTGTCGCGGTCTGAAAGCTTGTTCATGAAGAGATTGACGCGTTGCCGCATCTCCTCTGGCCGATGCTTCGCCATGGGCAAAGGCGACGGTAGCCGGAATCAGGCAAAGATGGCTTTTTTAGTAATGGTAACTTCTCAGGGGATCTAAGGACGAAGAAGACGCGGAAATCTCGGGGCTTGACTCAATGTGAGAAGAAGGCAGAGCGGTGTTATTTAACCAGATTGTTGGTTACGGTAGTGAAGCCGATTACAAGTTGAAGGAAGGGGGGAGGCATTTCCTTAATTAGAATACAGAGTATGAATAGAAGGAAAAAATTAGGAAACTGAGAAGAATTGCAAGGTAATTTATAATATTTTATTATTATTTTATTGCCTGTGGAATTAAGTGACTGTTTTATATTTTAGACGAATTTATCCAGCAAATCTTGAATTTCTTGGATAATTATTTGCAATGACTGTCAGAGCATGCCGTACATATTTTAGGTAAGATATTAATTTATAATTGATATAAGTCATGCTCCAACATAACTTTCGAAAATTTTGAAATAAAATTTCAATGTATTTTTTTATTGGAAAAATAGCTATAACCTTTAATTGTAGGGAAAAACACTGCATACTCTATAAATTCAAAGGAGGCCTTGGTCTCTATTTTTTTTTGGAAGTTAAAAATATTATTTGTAGTCAAAATGATGGCTTGTCTCTACAATATTATTTTTATTTTAGTACCGTGGCTTTCTGAAAGATCTCAATAGATTTGATTCAGCACTATGAAAAGAAACAAAATATAAGATAGATTTATTTCACTTGAGCTTTTTTAATATCATATAACTTGTGCATTGGATGTTATATATTTATATGCATAAGAGGACTTGAACAATAAAGGGAAGAGGAGATAGATCCTGTGAGCGACAGGGAAGGTTATGGTGTGGTGTGATGATGATTAAGGCTGTATAAAGTGCAAAAAAGTTGGAGTAGTGGGAAGACATTTGAGTTGGTTGATAGCATATCAATAGTTCCTTATTTGTGTGTAACTTATCGCTGTCCTGCAAATTAAGGATCTGAGAATCGGAGAATTATTTTTTATGTAGCCAATGAAAATGAGAAGGTGACAGAGCTTTCATGAGCATGTCGGCGGGTTGATCTGCTAAATGAATGTGGTGGACTGAAGCTTCCTTGGTTTTGATCCTATCTCAAATGAAGCAGTAGTTTATTTTGATGTGCTTGATGCGAACATACAACATTGGATTGTTTGCTAGTGCAATTGAGGAGATTTCATCACAATGAAGAGAATGGGCTAGTTGCGATGGGAGGAAGGTGAAATTCAGTAAGGAAATGACAAAGCCAGACAATGTCAGAGGCAGTAGCAGTGATAGATATATATTTGACTTAGCTGGATGACTTGGCAATAATGGATTGATTGTTGATGCTCTAGGAAACTAATGCATTGTGGAGAAATGAGCAGTTTCCAAAGATGGATTTTCTATCAATGCAATTAGCAACCCAATCAGAATTAGCATATGGCCGAAGTGTATTTGAGGAGATGTTTCAGAATGTAAACATAAATATTAAATGGGTTGCATGAATTGACAAAGTTGGTTGGTTGTAAAGGAAAAGTTAAGACGAGTTATAGTAAGATATTGAAGGGAGCCAATAATTTTGTTATAAATAACTAGATTTATGAAAGGTTGATGCATGTCAGGCGTAGAGGGGCTAATTTGATTGAGAGAGGAGAGGTTGCATGTTTGTAGTTAGTCATGCCATATTTTTGTGGGATTTTGGAGGTGTATTGAGTTTGATTTAGGATATAAGAGATAGAGGTGGAGATAATTTGAAGGCCAAGAAATAATTATATGGGGCCAAGGTCTTTGAGGGAGAAGCAGGCTTGGAGGTCGAAAATGACAGAGTTGAGGGTGGGTTGGTGATCGTTGGTGATAAGAATGTCACCAACATATTAGAGAAGATAGGTGTTAGTGGTGGTGGTATGATGTATGAGGAGAGATAGATCCAAGTTGCTGAAGTCAAATCATTGAATCAGGAGAAAGTTGGAAAAGGTTTGAAACCACTAGTGAGGGGCATATTTGAGACCATAGAGAGCCTTATGGAGTTTGCAGACAAGTTTTGGTTGTAAGGGATCAATGAAGCCAAAAGGTTGTTTCATATACACGATGTTAGTAAGGGTACCGTGAAGGAATACCTTGGATATGTCTAGCTAATGACCTGCCACTTGTTGTGTAAGGCAACTGTGACAAGAATGTGGATAGTTGGCTACCGGGTTACAAGTGTCAAACAAGGTTATACAAAGTCCTTGTTTGAATCCTTAAGCCACAAGATGAGCTTTGTGGAGCCATCGAGTTTCAATGTGGTTTTAAAGGTCTAGCAACATCCTAAAACTAGTTGATTGGGACGTAATGGGATAAGGGACCTGAAAGTTCATTTAGGCTGTTAGGCCTTGGAATTGTCCCAAGGCTAATCAAGAGGGAGGGTGAATTGGTTATAAAAAAATTCATAGATATTTGAAAATCTTTTTAGAAAATATAATCCACTGATCCTGAATTATGCAGATATTTTAAAGAAACAAGTATTACAGGATTTTTCAACCACATAAATAAAATCAAATACGAAAATAAAAATGCAAGAAAAATAAAAAGTAATAGAAGAACACCAAATTTTATATTGGTTCAATCCAATTAGACCTACATCTACTCCTTAGAGACTCCTTCTACAGGTATTGTACTAAACACAAGTGACTCTTATTTTGCCCCCACAACAATGCGAAGAACCCTTTACAAAGTCTCTTTTCACCAACCTGTTGTGGCAGATAACCGTCATCTTTTACACTCTCCAAGTGATGGCAGCATACATTCACATCTTTTTTCACCGTCCTGGTGAAGACAGAGTACATACTTGTCCTTTTTCACCCTCCTTATGAAGGCAAAAAATTGTCAGGTCTTTTTTTCAGCCTCTTGGTGAAGGCAGAGAACCTTGATTCAATCTTGAAGATCTCCTCTCAAGTGCCTCTAAAGTTGTTGGGTAGAAACTTTGAAGAATACAAAGACTTTATATCATATTGTACGAATAGTTCAAAAATGAATGTATTTTTATGGGTGGTAAGCCATTAAGAATGTATAAGATTATGCCCTAAGTATCTATATGAGACCTAATTGCATAAATATTATCTACAAGTATTTTTTTTTATGTTGGAGAGGTATTGAGACATGGAAAGCTCTTTCATAAAATATTGTGAAGTTCATTCTTGAGTTTGATGACTCTTGAGTGGTATGTAGGTTATAAGCATTTTTCAAGGGTGGACCAAATTTCATGGCATGTGTTTAGATTGAGAATGTGGAGTTAAATAGATGGGGAAATGGTGGAGTAGAGGGTGGCTAAAAGATATTGGTCACGAAGAAGCTAATTATTGTGTTATGGATTAGATAAGATTTCATTAGTAGTGGATATGAAGTGTTTGGGAGGACAGCTATCGATTCCATTGAGAAAACCAACAACCCCATTGGTATAGAGCATCTTGAGGCTTTGGAAACACCATATGCTGGTGGTTTTCAGTGTTTAATTGAACATGTATGTTGTTCTTAATGTTAGCATGAAGAATTTGAGCGAGGAGAGGTATATAATATCTATCACTCTTGGAGTTGAGTTGTGAGGGACGGTTGTTGAAGTGGAGGAAAATTCGTCCATCTGATTAGATAGGTTGAAACGGAGGTTGTTGGGCTTAAAGCTCTGACACTCTGAAAGATAACTAACTCAATGGATTCAACATAATGAAAAGATATGAAATATAAATAACATGAGATAAATTCGGTCCATTAGAGCTTCTTTTACTGTCATACAACTTGTGCATTGTAAGTTACATATTTATAGGCATAAGGGAGCATGAACAGTAAAGGGAAGGGAGACGGGCTTTGTGGTAGCATGCAATATTATGGTATGGTAGTTGGAAGACATTTGAGTTGGTTGCATGCATATCAAAAGGTCCTTATATGTGTATAACTTATCACTTCTATCTTCTATGGAATTAGAAATCAGTCAACGAATGTCAAATGAATATGAGAACATTATAAAGGTCAACTAGTGCACTATAAAATTTTGAATTATTTATGAATTTGGAACACTAAATTTTAAAATGTGTAAAATTGATAAGAATTGAGATATATTAATGTACTTTGAGGGGGTTGTCCAATGATTATCTAAAATTGTTCTAGAATATTCATCATATTATCATACAAGTGCACCAAATCATGCCCTTGTTTGAAAAGTCTATACAATGTTACCATTAAGTTAACCTGATAAATAGTATGAGTCATGACTGGTTCGAACAATCGGTGGTCAACAAAGTCTTTAATCAACAAAAGGAAAAGATCATCTTGAAGCACTTGACTCCATCAAAAGTAGTATTATTAGCCAACTGTGAAAGAGAAGTTTAGGATTTCTCTTATTTTTTAAGAGATGAGAGAGAGAGAGGGAGAGATTAGACTTCGGATCTTTCCCACTCAGATTTCTCATTATTTTGTTTTTCAAACCACAATTATATTTCTATTTTCCTATTGATTTCTAATTGTTTTTTAAGAAATTTTTATAATGAGAAGCTGTTTTTTATGATCATAGTCGCTAATGCGTGGTAGCTTTAAGAAAAAAATTATTCAATTATATATATATATATAGCAACAATCATGATTTAGCTTAACATGATTAATCAATCAATAATATATACATAGAAACATAAATGGGCGATCATAAAATAATCATTTTTGACGCGTCATCACAACTTGTTCAGTAAGGTCAGATCATCAAATTTTATCAATAATTAACAAATACATTAAAATATAATAAATTTTATCTATGAAAATGAAACATTGAAGTTGTAAAACCAAAAAGACATCTCAACAAAACAAAGCTGCTAAAATAGAAAATAATGATTCATATCTGCACCTTATTAAGGTAGCGTAAGACTGTTAATATATGATGCTGATGAAAGACTTAGGTCATATTTTTTTTATTTAAAATATATATTTAATAAAGAAATTATATTTGATGTCGTGTTTCTATTTCCTTTCAAATATATTTTTTATATATTATGATGTTTTCATCTATTTTGAAAATAATTTTTTATAAAATAAGAAATACGTATAGCCAAAGCTATTTTGTTCATAAAATAAAATAAAAAAGTAAGAGCTTAATTATTTAATTATTTTGCGTTTGGTTCAGTTGGGTGGGAATATAATTTAATAACAAAAAAAGTTTAGGGCTTAATATATTTTAAAATGAGTCATAATTTCTCAATTATATTTAAATAATATAAAATTATTTGGTTTCAAGATATATAGACATGATAAGGATA